TAGATTGGGAGGGGGGGGGGAATATGATTTTAAATGGAAAATCCAAAGTATTTAGGAATCAAAAGGAATTTTTCAGAACTTGGAAGCAGCTGCCCCTAACCCCTTGTGACTCTGCCACTGCCGACTACCATAAAAAAAAAAAAAAAGATTGACATAATCACTTAAATTTGACTGATATATGAAAGAAAGTCGGTTATCCTTATTTGTCTTCTTAAAGAGGACAAACACGACGATAAAGAAAACCCAAGTTGGATTCATTCAATTAGCCAATAAAACTGTCTGTTTCCTGTTAGACCAAGGACTTTGCCATGCTTGAAAACCTTATTCCATTCGGCAGCCACAGGTTTATGGATTAAAAAAAAAAAAGGGATTTGTGCGCCTCAATAATTGCTAAATAATGGATAAGGAACGGTTGGAGGCAAAATTGATTTTAAACGATTGAGATCAGTTTTTGTATAGGTTGCATGAGATAAATGTTAACATATTTTAAACGTATAATTGTAAATTTTGATATAGGTCATATAAAATTTTTTGCATCAATTATTACTTAAATGGTATATCTATTTAAGTATGAATTAATTTATTCTACATTATCAAAGTATAATTTTTTATGTTTCTGAACAATTTTAAGTGCATGACATATAATTTTTATTTAAATTTAAGTATTATATATATATAATTACTAGAGTAAAAAATCTTATTATACAAACTCATCCAAGTATTCGGACAATTTTGTATGATAACAACTTAGATCACATTTCAACAAAACAATAATAACAATAATAATATGCAGCCGCCCAACGGGCTGATGGTCACCACAAGCAATTTAGTCTTGATGGTATGGGAGGTCAAGAATTCAATTCTTGCCTTTCATTAATTTACTATTATATGTGGTTGTCTTGAGTGGCTTTCTCTGAGGGTATTTCAACTCTCATCGACTCCCCCTTCTCTTAGATTAGGATAATTTAGATTATAAAAATATTACTATTGCGATAAAAAAAATAATAACAATAACAATAAAATAGGGCAGCCACAGATTATCGGTCAAGATGAAAATGTCCAGCCATCAGAAGTGGGACCTTTGCACTTCAGGTAAGATGGTCCAACAAGGCAAAACGACCTAGAACAACTGGAATTTAAGTCAGTGTTGTTGGTGGGCCAAATGGAAATTTCCATCCATTTACAAGCTTTCGACCACTACATGATTTTCAAGTGTTCTCTAGTCTCCGCTCGTGCCAGCTTTCTCCTATAAATTGCCACCCCAATATCCAAATCCCACACACAACACACAAAATACACAACAAAATCCAACTCCCACGCACAAAACACACACTTTAGGCAAGAAAAGTAGCCACCACAAAGGCTAGTAAGATGGAGAACTTCCCAATAATCAACATGAAAAACCTCAATGGTGACAAGAGAGCTTCCACCATGGAGCATATAAAGGATGCTTGTGAAAACTGGGGTTTCTTTGAGGTACTACGCATTCCTTTTTTTTTAAATTTTCTTTCTGATATAAGGCAAACTAGTGTACCTCATTTTGTTTTTTTGATGTAACAAACTGCTGTACCTAGGATTTTCATGAGTTAGTTTTAATTTTAATGGTTCTAAGAAGTTTACATTATTAACTTTTGTTTCTTTTCTTTGGAAACTTTGATGTAGTTGGTGAACCATGGAATCCCACACGAGATGATGGACACAGTTGAAAGATTGACAAAAGGTCATTACAAGAAATGCATGGAGCAAAGGTTCAAGGAGTTGGTGGCAAGCAAGGCTTTAGAGGGTGTACAAGTTGAGATTACGGATATGGATTGGGAGAGCACATTTTTCTTGCGCCACCTTCCTGTCTCAAACATTTCACAAGTCCCTGATCTAGATGATGAATACAGGTAACAATTATAGCACATTTCCCAATTCAAGAAATATTTTGAAGCAAGTCTTATGTGGATAAGTAATCATTTTGCTGACAGAAAGAAAACTAAAAAAAAATTGAAGAAACCAAGAGTATGAATTTGTCTTTATGTTACTTGTAATAATTCATAGCTTCGTTGTTAAAGGTTGTAAATTTGAGTCTTTGTTAACATTTTATTTGTGTTCTTAGCACAGATTTTCTTGTCATCCTTGTACTATTAGAGTGTTGTTTACAGATGTGGAAAGTTATTCAAGACAAGATCTTAACAGGAACATGAAATGCATAAATACTGTTGCGCTGTAGTTAGTTCCTAGGTCCCAACACAATAGGAAGTTTTGAGCTGACCGAACCTCTGTGTCCCTCTGTGTCCCTTCTCAAGAAACAGATAGATTTGGATTTCCATTCAGGTATATCAATAAAATAGCCTTTCATCAGACACAATTATTGACAACTTGGCTTGAAATATCTTAAAATATTCCCTTGTCAATGCCTAAAAAGCAAGATATATCCATGGCTCTGTCATAGGCTATTTTAATTTTCTCTTTTTATTAATTCCACCTATCCCATCAAATTTTCCTCATTATTTTTTCTTATGATTCAGGACCATCATGAAGGAGTTTGCTGTAAGATTAGAAAAACTGGCTGAAGAACTTCTTGATTTACTATGTGAAAATCTTGGTCTTGAGAAGGGCTATTTGAAGAAAGCCTTTTATGGTTCAAAAGGTCCCAATTTTGGCACCAAGGTTAGCAACTACCCTCCATGTCCCAAGCCAGAATTGATTAAGGGACTTCGACCACACACTGATGCTGGTGGGATTATCTTGCTTTTCCAAGATGATAAAGTAAGTGGTCTACAACTGCTCAAGCGTGATCAATGGGTTGATGTCCCTCCAATGAAGCACTCTATTGTGGTCAACCTTGGTGACCAACTCGAGGTACACATTAATTTCTTGGGATTAAAAATTTATACTTTTATAAGTAATATGATAGTACTAAATAAAAGAAACAAAAGATTTCTTACCTTCATACCAACATATTACGTATAGTTACACTTGTGCCTCATAAATATTGCTTATGGATAGATAATTTCTCAAAAAAATTACTTATAAATACGGAATATCATGCCAGATTTAGAGGGGTGATTGTAATTTGTGAGCAACACTAAACATCAATATTAATTAATGCAAAAATTAACAAATCGAATCGACTATTTATTCACTTATGCCTTTTTATTTAGGGTTCTAATTATGTTACAAATTAATCACAGGTGATTACCAATGGAAAATACAAAAGTGTGCTCCACCGAGTCATAGCTCAAACAGATGGAAATAGGATGTCACTTGCTTCATTCTACAATCCAGGCAATGATGCAATTATTTATCCAGCACCAGCACTGCTGGAAAAAGAAGCAGAAGAAAGAAAAGAAGTCTACCCAAAATTTGTTTTTGATGACTACATGAAACTCTATGCTGGACTTAAATTCCAGGCCAAAGAGCCAAGATTTGAACTCATGAAGAACGTGGAAGCCAATGTTACCATAGGAATAAAACAGTGCTAGGATGTTTTCTTCTCCTCATATGTTTTCTACTTATTATTATTATTATTATTTTTTATTGTGGGGGTTGTTGGTTATTCCTAGTCATTTGTTGCTCGGGTCCTTTATACATCTGAGGGACCAAAATTTATTATGTCGTAAGAATTCTAAGACAAAGAAATAAAATAAGCTATACATTTCTCCAAAATCATTTGTGGCAACTGTTGCAAAGCTATATGGTTGATTGACCTAATATTTGGTTTAAATGCCTTTTAAAGTCCTTAAAATTTTCTCTATTATTAGACACTCAACATTTTACTTTAATTTATGAATGCCGGATCAATTTAGTCCTCAAATTTCTAACAAATCTAACAAATCAAATATCTGGTACTTTGAACAAAAACACAATTATGTTTGGAACTATGAATTTCAATTATCAAACTTAAGAGAGAAAACTTACAAGGAGCAGCCGATATCAAATGCAAGAAAAGCTAAGTTTGTCTCACATAACTATTTATTTAATAGTTGTAAGCGAATGATTAACATATTATACATGTTAAAGCATTTAACAGTAATGCATTAGTTACATGGCCGAGAACTTAAAATTGGCAATATCCTTCAAAAGCCCACTTTTTGGTACCAAATCACGAATAACATAAACAAGTTATCAATAGCCAAGACAAGCCAACGATTTGTTGACTACTAAGTTTAAATGAAAAAACAAAATCCATTCAACATTTACCACATTTGTACTTTGCCACCTTCAACTTAAAAAACAGGCAGTTTGCCCTCTAGCAAATCTGGTTAGTGATTTTAACGGTCAAAACTCAAAAGTCAAAAGCAAGCCAAGTTATCCTCAAGCTGACAGAAATATGGTTGACTACTAATGGAAAAAGTTTTTAGAGTTAAATATATTTTGTAGAACCATTTAAGAACCAAATACTAATTTGGATGCAGTTTAGAGGAAAAATCAAGGTTGATTGGTGACATAAAAAAGTTGTATAAGTTCAAGAATTCTCTCATTCTCCTTATAGTTCTTTTTTTCCCTTTCTTTTTTGCAAGTTTTTTCTCGAAACATGTGTCACTATTATCCCTCAACTTCATATATCCAAGAACATGCAGACACACACACACACACACACGTGTAACTTACACCTTTCCAGTCTTTTACTTTTCACAAGGAGTTGAATTTTGTATGCTTCTTTCTGTGGATGGAGACACAAGTTTTCCTCTAGTAAGTATGAGGATTAAATAACCAACGACTATAGCCATTAGAGAGAGCTATAAAACTCTCCTTGAGTGCAGCTCGAGATTATGGTCTATATTATAAAAAAATTAGAATTTTTAAAAAAAATTTCATCAGGAGGTACGTAGGCAGTGGCGGAGCTAGGAATTAACTTTGGGGGGAGGGGCGAGTCTATAGCAATGAAAGTAAAATATATTTACAAAAAAAATAATATGAACACATATACCACAAGATTAGAAACAACCTTATATAGAATGAAAATTACTTATACGCTTCACATATACAAAAATATCATCATATTTACAAATCTATTTGACTGTGTGGGACATATGAAATTGTGCACGACAACTTTTAATTTTATCAAAGTCATCAATGATTGAATTTATATCAAAAGTTCTAGCAATTTCTTTCTCAATATACATTATCATAGAGTTAGCAAGAAAGTCTTCCTCCATCCTAGAACACAAACAAGTCTTGATGATTTTCATAGCAGAAAATGCACGCTCTGTTGTAGCTGTTGAAACAGGAAGAGTCAAAATAAGACGAATCAATCTATCAATAAGAGTATAGCACATTGACTTTCTTGTCTTTGCTAACACTTGGCACAACTCCTGAAGTGATGACAAATTTTGGAGCTGAGAATTATAGGAAAACTCAATCTGGAAAAGCTCTAATTGAGTTCTTAAGTGTAACTTCTCTTGATCTGTGAAGTCAGCTGAATAAAACTTGTTTGCAAGTTGACAAATTTGTTCAATATTGAAAGCCTGAAAATTATCTTTGGGGTGCAATGCTGGACTAAGAATAAGCAACTCTATTACATCTTCCTTAAACCTATTCTTCATTTCAAGTATTTGAGAATCAACAGTTGCCAAAAACACATCAATCCTGTAGTGATGCTCCATGGTAATTGGATCATTTTGTTTTCGAATTCTTCCTCGACCTGCTTTATAAATGACATTCATATCAGGCATCTCTATATTTCGTGCATCACAAAATGTCTTTACATTGGTGAACAATTCATTCCATCCATTATCTCTGTAACTTTAAAGTCGATCCTTTGTTGCTGAAGCCAATTTAAGGGCACCCAAAATATCTTGAGATTTGCATTGTAAAGCTTGAGAAAGTACTTGTGCAAATCCTAAAATGTCCCTCATCATATGCATAACAAGAACAAAATCAAAGGATGTCATGAAATCATAAACTCTGTCAGCTTCACTTCTTTGAATTGATGTATTTCCATAATTGATAACATCAATTAGGACAGAGCAAATGTCTTCATATTCTATGAATAAGCTATAGATAGAACTAAAATGAGACCCCCATCTTGTAGTCCCTGGCCGTTTTAAGGTACCAATCTGATTCTGACCCCTACCAGTCTCAAGTTCATCAATAGCAATCAATTCAGCAATTCTAGCAGCTCTAGCAACTCTAAGTTGGTCCACACGTTTGCAAGAAGATGAAATTAAATTTATAAGAAGAGATAAGTATGTAAAGAATTGTTCCACAGGAATTACCTCTTGAGATGTTGCTACCAATGTTAATTGCAATTGATGAGCAAAACAGTGAATATAATATGCATAGGGGCACTCCTGAATAAATAATGCTTGTAGTCCATTCCATTCTCCATGCATGTTACTAGCTCCATCATATCCTTGGCCACGAATGTTTTCCACACTAAGATTATGGCGAGAAAGGACATCACATATCTCCTTCTTCAAAGTCAAGGAATTGGTTTCGTGCACATGACCAATGTCAAAAAATCTCTCTTGAGTATAGCCTTGCTTGTCCACAAATCTAAGAACAATAGCCATTTGCTCTCTTTTTGATCTATCTTGAGCCTCATCAACAAGTATAGAAAATTTTGAATCACTAATCTCCTCTCAAATATACTTTTGTATCTTGCTCGACCAAGTGGACAATATCTCCTTTTGGATCGTAGGAGAAGTATAAGATGCATTTCGAGGAGCATTATCAAGGACCACACAGCCACTTTTTCATTATAAGAAGACACATGCTTGATCAACTCAATAAAATTACCTCGATTGTTAGAATCTAAACTTTCATCATGACCCCTAAAAGCCACCGCTTGAAATGCACACCATTTTGCAGCATCTATGGAAACTTGAAGTTGCAACCGATTTTTTGCAACTTGCTCAGAATTTTGCTTCTCAACAATTTTATCAAGATGTTGCAATGAGTTTCCCAAATCATGATAGCATTGCATTACCACTTTGTGTGATGAGTTAGGATCTTTTTCAATGTGATTTAAAAAAGCACAATTTTTTTCCATCATTTACCTTCTTCCATGATCTAAATCCACTAGTTGTGAAGGCCATTGATCCAAAACGGTCCGTTGGCTTGGAAAAAAGTGAGCAAGGAAGACAAAAGGCAGCATTCTTTGTTGGAGAAAATTCCAACCAATCTGGAAACAATTTATACCAAGAGAAAAGGAAACGTCGGCCCTTCTTGTCAACAACCATTGATTCAATCGGAAGCTCAGGTTGGTATGGCCCAAACTTAATATATGCTCTCCGTACCTCATCCCTTTGATGCTCTAGATATTCCCAAATGGATTTTTGCTTTCCAGGATCACGTTCTATGGATGAAATATCAAACTCTAATGATTTAATTCTACAAAATTTCTTTGTTTGATGCTTAGGAGAAGAATCACGAAGAGGACAAGGAGTTTCACCACTTCCACTTGGTTCTAGACGTCTTTTCTTGAAAAAAGAATCAATTGTCCAATTGGCCATTACCACTATATTTGCAACAAAACAACAACCTGTAATCGAAATAAAATTGATTGAGAAATGCTGTTTATGGTCTTAGAGATGGGAATTTGACCAATGCAAAAGACTGGTTTCCCTAATTCCGTTACAAATTTGGCCATTCAACCTGACTGAAAGCCCGGCCATCACCCAAGGAAGCCAACAGGATTCTCAAAATAAAATTAGTATGAAAATTGGAAAAGAAAACCAGTCTCAAAATCAACTAAAATAAATGCTTATCACCCGAATTCGGAAGGCCAAGTACGAAAAACAATACAAGTCCCTCTCGAGCATTTCATCAAACAACTGGCAGGCGAACTTTTTACACCCACATTTCACTAAATAAATGCAATGTCAAACTAACCTAGTAAATGGTAATAGCTTGAAATTCCTGCGACATTGTATTTGTATCCCCAGAAACGGCTTCACCAGTGGGAGAGAATTAAAGGAGTCTGTCTGTAGGTTCTTCTTCTGTGTAATCTTTTCTTTGCGCGGTAGGGAGGAAGTAGTATAATATGCTGCTACTAGATAGCAGTGAAAGATACCAAGTGTACAGTAGCAAACTAGACAGAGTTGCCCCGCGTTTTTTATGCACTTCAAAACTTGACGAGGAATTTGATGACTTGCATATTCAAATTGCCATGTTATTATTAGTAGAGCAATGAGGCCTTCATAAAATGTATGTACATCTCTACTATAACAGAAAAATCTGAGGAGGTGGGCACTGGCCAGTGGGTGTTTCCTTTGCCTTTGTGTTTTGATTTCTTGTCTGTGGCCAGTTGTTCGATGTGACTCCTTACCATTTTTCACTCGAAAGCCTCCCTTTTAGCTTAGCTTAGCTTCTAACTATGGACGGACATGAAGCAAACAAGTAATCCCGCCAAACATTATTGTTTGGGCCCTTGGAGGGGCAGAGTAAATTTTTTGATCAATTTTTGGGGGGGGCAAAACATAATAATAAAAATTTTTTTACTTAGAAATTTTTTTAACAATTGGAGAGGGGGCGGTTGCCCCCTGGCCCCTCCTTCCCTCCGCCCCTGTACATAGGTACCGTTTAGAAGTCCCCAGCCAAAAAAAAAAGAGGATTAAATACTGAATTTTATGATATAAACTGAATGTATAGGTACACCATCACCAGCTTTGTGAGATGATGTAATTTGTACACCTTGTCCACAATGGAGCCTCTCTAGCAACTGTCAATCTCCCAGGAATTCTAGAGTATAAGTGTGCCTCGCATGATTGAACCATTCATTTCATTTGTTGACCTTGCTGCCAACGGTAAAAACGATCGTATTTAGTTTGTTTATTAATTTTCCAGTGACACGAGACAAAACGAGGCCGGTGGAAGAAAAATTAAATTGTTTAATCAAGATTTCATTCTATGGCATATGTGGTAGCAACAAAGTTAAGTTTCTTCCAACAAAATTACAAATAAAGTGGGCAGACAATTTAGCGAAAGCATATGTTCAAAAATCTTTGAATAAAATGAATTAAGTTAGTTACCCATAGCGGTTATAAAAGTAAAATTCTGACCAAATTTGTTTTAAGGGGCATATTACAACTGGGATATAATCTTAGAGGGGTGTAGTGTTATGTCGTTTATCAAAGTAAGTAAGGTATCTGTTAGGAAATTGGCAACTTTTTTAGACAAGTTTTTTATTTTGTGTGGAAGTAACTAGTTTTCTAATTGGTTTTAGTTACTTGAAGTATTATCTAGGAATTTTCTATTTCGTTTACGATTAGAAGTTATTTCCTATTTTCTATAAGTCTAGAAATTAGAATTGATTTCTTGTTGTTATTTGGGTTTTGGCCAAATAATGATCCCTATAAAGAGGTGGGTTGGATTGGATACTACAAAGAGACACACAATGGCACACAAAAGGCGACATGTACTCTTATACATGAGTGATGAGAGAGGGTTCTTGAAAAATAAGAGATGGTATACAAGGGTTGGGATTGGATTCAAGTTATATTCTTGTATAAGGTTTGTCTCTCATAATAAAGAATAGGTTTTTCTTCGTAAATGTAGGTTCAATGGTGGAACCGAACCACGTTAAATATTGTATGTTGTTTATCTTTCATGCTTGCGGCTTGTTCCTCATTAAATTGTTGTATACTTGATATTTCAATAGTTATGTGTTCTGCGTTTGGCTCTCACCAAGTGGTATCAAAGCCTATTGCGAGACAGGGCTACTCACAAGCAATTGGATCCCAACAAACTGAATGATTGGATCAAGAGTTTGGTTGTTTAAAATTGGATCCTGGTTAACTGTTGAGATCAAATGGATTGATAGCTATCACCAATTTGAATAATTTAATGGGTCATATCCTTGTTTCAATGGTTTGGCAAAAGCATTGATGGTAAAAGATGGGAAGTCGAAAAGCATAGAGATGCTTGATGGTGAATTTAGGTAGGTGATTCAAGGGTCAAGGAAAAGGTGGAGTCCAATGTTGATTTTGAGTGCGAATCGGTGGAGACTTTCTCACACCTCCAACAGTTGATACTTCATTCCGATGAATTTTAGATTTTGGTTATATTTTTTGGATGGTGTAGCACGTGTTCCAGAGAAACAAAGAGATCTAATTTTCAAGCGTAAGAAGACTCTAATAGTTACCAGTTTTTTGTTTTAGGTGAAATCTTAGAAACCATACGTGGCGAGACAGTCCTGAGAATAGGAAGAAATATGGTGATTTTATCACTTAGTTATCTCAATGATCAGGGTTAAATCTCATAGAAGGGGATCCCGGATTACAAGTGGTGGTGAATCGAAACACTTTCTCACGAGTCAATTGGAAGTTGGAGTTCAGGTAACTAAGCATGTTTATTCGCCAATTGAATTAATTTGGTGTCAAGATTGTATTGATTCAGGTGTGTAGTTGGGTATCATATTATTTGGTTGTTGAAAGCAAATGATTACTACAACCAATTTTCGCCAAGGTGAAAATTTGTTAGGAAATTAATTTAATTTCTTTTTATACAAGTTTCTTATTTTGTGTGGAAGTAACTAGTTTTCTAATTGGTTTTAGTTACTTGAAGTAGTATCCAAGGAATTTTCTATTTTGTTTAGGATTAGAAGTTATTTCCTATTCTGTATAAGTCTAGGAATTAGAATTGGTTTCCTGTTGTTATTTGGGTTTTGCCTAAATAGTATTCTCTATAAATAGATTGGATTGACATACTACAAAGAGATATATAAGGGCAC